CTAAAGAAGTTGTGCACAACCGTTTGTTTGAAGAAAGTTATTTCACTATGTGTTACATTTGGAACGGACAAGAGGATGGCATTATATAAAAAAAAGGAATCATGGTGAACAGGTGTCCCTAAGCCTGCCCCATGGCAGAGCAGTACTGCCATCTGCATGTTACTGCAACCCACCCGCAACTGCGGCACGTGCAAAATGATGCCTGCAAATCTGGCCTGAGGTGTTTTCCTCAGCAGGTCCCTGTGCTGTCAGCACACTCCCAAGTACAGCATTAATCTGGGTCAGAGGTGGGAATATGTAAGAGTTGAAATAATTGTTGTGCCTGATAGGAGGTTTGTGCTGGTGTCACATTAGTTACAGGAAATGGACAGTATCTGACATGATCAGGCAATGTCTGAACCCCCGTGAAGCCTTTTAGCATGAAGTTCACCTTGCAAAATACTGAAAAAATGCGTTTGAACCTACGAGTAAACTGAAATCAGACAAGTGCTTTGCAGCCTTTAACTGCAGCACTTTCATCCTGATGCATGCACAGAAGCATAAAATTCTGTTTAAAACCAAATGGCTACTTCAGCCTTGCACCTGCAAAGAAGACCACCACCAGAGGAACCATTTCCCACCAAGAAAGTTGAACTACAGACAACTTCAGACTTAAGTCACTGCTAATTTAGTTACTCTTTAATCTGGTTTGTCAGTGACCACCTTGCATATTGCTTTGTGATTCAGTCATTGATTGTCTGACATCTTGGAAACTTCACAGCAGTTGGAGAAGAGATGGTCCTTTGAATATCCCAATAATTTGGGATTAATCTCAATATTCTCAAATATTATGCCTTTCTTCCTTTAATTAGGATTTGAGAACCTAATATAACCACAAGAACCATATGGTTTTCATTACATATTGTGGGTAGTCACATCTGAGACCTCAAAATAAATCAGTTTGTACAACACTAATCTTGCAAACTCACAGCTGAAGATGTTCTGCTCTAATTGCTCGTCATTTCAAACAGGTGAGAGCAGATGTTTTTACTTTATCAGAAGTTGCTAAGCTGTGCCTAACAGGGTCCTACAACACTTCTTGATTTGTCAGGTTGAATGGTTTTAATCAGGTGTTTGCCACGTGCTGGCTGCAGGGTTCAGGTGCCTCAAGTTCCTAACAGGAAGGCGAAAGTATGAACAAAGCAGGCAGCTCTGAGTCAAGGTGCACCCTGGGTTTATGGACTCCAGTGCTGAGCCAAGATGCAGGCAGAAGTGTAACTCTTGAGAAAAGGGGAGCTCAGAAGAGCTAAAGAGGGAGAGGAGATGGAAGGAGTGGCTGACACAGCAGAAAGCTGTGCTGCCATTCAGCGAGATCTGAACAGCCTGACGAGCAGAGTTTAGTGACACCTGAGGAGGAATAAGAGCGTGCATCAGTACAGGTGAGGGAACGACCTGCTGGAGAGAAGCTCTGTGTGGAACGGCCTCGGTGTCCCGGTGGGCAACGGGGTGGCTGTGAGCCAGCAGTGCGCCTTGTGGCCAGTGGGATCCTGGGCTGCCTTCCGAACAGCGCGGCCCGCAGGTCAAGGGAGGTGATGCTCCCCCTCTCCCCTGCCCTGGTGAGGCCACATCTGGAGTACCGTGTCCTGGGGAGCATCTCCCTCATGGGGAAAGGGTGGGAGGGCTGGGCCTGTTCAGCCTGGAGAAGGCTGAGGGGGGATCTTATCACCGCTTGTAAATATCTAATGCACAGTAGTCGAGTGGGTGGGGTCAGGCTCTTTTTGCTGGTGCCTACAGCCAGGATTAAGGGGCAACGGGCACAATGAGGAACAGAGGAAATTCCATGCGAACACGAGGGAATGTTTCTTGACTGTGTGGCTATCAGAGCAGTGAACCAGGCTGGACGCTTTCCTGGGTAGCCCACCACAGGGAACCTGCTTTAACAGGTACTCGGCACGGAGCGGACGCATTCCGCGCTGCAGCAAGGAATCGCCTCGGCTTGACGGGTGGCCCTATCAGAGAACACAGCCGGCCGCCATTGTCCTCCGCGCGGCAGCAGTGAACTGACGCCGAGGCGGCGGAGCCAGGACCAGCCAGAAGCAGCGGGGGACCGCCCCTGCGTGTATAACCTGCTGCGGGGCGCAGCGAGCAGGGCGAGCTTACAGGGCACGAGACGGCAGTGGGCTGGGCAGAGAAGCGGGGAGGCACGGCAGCGTGCAGGGGGCCTGGAATCTCTGCCCACTAGTAGAACTGCCTGCCTCCCGGACAACGTATCTCACCGTGGTGTCCACCAGGTGGAAAAGCCTGGGGAGAAATACAGTGGTGACTGAGAGCCCCTGCCTGAAAAAGTGGAAGTTCAAGTCTGTAGCTGCAGCAAGTGACTGAGTCCGTTGGTGCAAGAGAAGGCAGGAGGGAAGGCAAGCAGCCTGAAGTGCAAGCAGGTGGATGATGTGCTCCATATGGTGGCTGCACTCCAGGAGGAGGTTGAGAGGTTCAGGAGTATCAGAAAGCGTGAGCGGGAGGCAGG